CTATAACTGCAACTTGGTTTCAAACTCGGACAAACTAGACAAATTAATCAGATTTTATTTTTAATTGGATTAACGATTAATGTTTTAAATTAATTAAACGATTAAAAAAATGTTATCATTAATCGTACAGTTGATTACGACTAATTAATTTTAATCGTCAAAGGCGATTAACATTTTAATCGTTAATTTTTAATCGTTAATCAGATTAACAGTTTGCCAAGACTGTGTGAAATCATGTTCATATTCACGGAGAAAAATGGACGTTTTTGGAAAAGAGGCGTAGCACCTCCCATACTGACTGAAAGTTTCATATTGCATATCTCTTCAAATGTTTGGGGTAAAGCACTCAAGCTTGGTATGGAAATACATATGTATGCATGTATGTATGTGAAACTAATACCATACTCATGGAGAAAAATTAGAGTTATTGGAAAAGGTGGTGTGGCAACTCCCATGCAAATTGATTTTTCTATGCTGCATATCTCTGGTGGTGTTTATTGCAGAGGACTGGAACTTGGCACCGAGATGTGTACACAAAATTAATTCCATACTCATAGAGAAGAATTTGTGTTAATCGAAAAGGGGACATGGTACCTCCCGTACAAATTTACTGTTTTATACTGCATATCTCCAGAGATGTTCATGGTAGAGTACTGGGACTTGGTACTGGGGTATGTAAAATCAATTCTAAATTCATGGAAGAAGATTAGGGTTATAAGAAAAATGGGCGTGGCACTTCCTGTACAAATTGACTTTTTCTTGCCACATATTCCTGGAAGTGTTTGTGGAAGACAGAATAAATTTCATTAAATGGAAAAGGGAGAGCCGGGTTCGACCTATAGTCTAAAGCTCTCTTGGGGCATTTGCTACAGTAATGAGAAGTGGTATTTTATCAAGGCCAGGTTACTAAATTTGAGTTGGAAATATTAGAACTCGCCGTGGCACCTCCAAGAAGGTTTCACGTTCACGCGTCGTATACCTGGAAACCTTTTAAGGTAAACTTAGAGAGAGAGTATTTTATAATTTCATAGTTTTAAACGGCCTAAATACCTTAACTTGCTTCGAAAATAACGAGCTATAACGAAATGGGCACAGAAATAAAATCTAACATCATTAAATTATTTTTCCTATTTGCATAAAAGCGCAGGGTGAAACCCGCGGGTATAAGCTAGTTATTATTATATTATTTGATAAAATATTAACAGCTGGAAAAAGGAGTACAAAAGAAGTACAAAGCTAATAAAGGAGTACATTTCCAGATATTTCTTTTTGGGAGTACAAGGGAGTACATTGCAATAAAAAGGAGTACGTTTACTCCCAAAAGCAGTACGTCTGGAAACCCTAGTTTTCGTGAAACCGGCATATTGATAAAGAAATTGCTTCTCAAATTGAATGCAGCCTACGTAATGGCTTTAAATTTTTATGATTTTTGACAAGCAATGTGTGTGAGGAAATTGAAAGGCAAAACTGATTGTGTGACGTGAGCGTAACCGGGACGTTACACATGCAATTTTCCCCTTTCAATTTTCAATACATTCACACATTTTCACTAACACACTCTTATTTATTATTTGAATGGGCAACTTGCTTTCAATTTTTCCCTTTCAGTTGAGTTTCAATTTTGCTTTAAATTTTGATCAGCTTATCAGCATTGTGGTGCGAATTTTGTGAAAACAAAAAAATACTAAGCTTATGCATGCTTAATTGGTAATCTACAATGGAAAATGGTCTTCAGAAGTACATTGTTTTCTTGAAGATGGCATGTTGATAATGAAATCGCTTCTCAAATTGAATGCAGCCTACCTAATAGGAGTGTTCGCTATGCACAAAATGTGTACAAGTTAGTACCAATTGTTACCAAATCGTGTTCGTTTAGCCAAAAACCCAGTACAACTTGCAAGGAGAGAGCACAATTTTGACATTTCATTTGGAGGGGAAGTTGCAAATTCGTGCTGGAAAAATTTTGGCCAGTAAGAATTTGCAAGCAGAATTGTGGCACACGGTTTGCTTTTTTATCAACATTAATTTGAATCAACAAGTTCGTTAAATTTAAAAGTGAATAATCTTGTTGCGATTTACTAATGAAAGAAGTAGGTAAATATTCGTTTATTCCATTAATTTAATTAATTCCAAACATTTGAAAGGTACTCGGCTGAAACAGCTGTATTCGTAATTGGAACGCACTCGACACCACTGTCGATACAGGAAATCCGACAGTGACTTCCACAAGGGAATTGAAGCATATGTTGAAGAAGGTCAGAATAAGAAGAAATATACGTATAGATCCTGTTTTGGTTTCTACCTGAAATAATTAAAAAACAAATTATTATGCTCGAAATGCAACCGTGGACGCCAGCTGGCAGTGAAGCTTGCAAATGTTTGCTAATTCCTGTTCGCGCAAAACTTAGTAAGTTTCTCTCTTTAGGAGAGTAAGGTACCTTATTCTCTGAATTTTGTTAATGGCTAATTCTTACTGGCAGTTGCATAACGAACACTCCTAATGACTTTCAATATTTATGATTTTTGATAAGCAATGTGTGTGAGGAAATTGAGAGAGCGAGAAAGCAAATGCAAAATCATAAATTTTTCACGAATTTCCAACACTTCGCTACACCAACGAAAGCAATATTCTGTTCGACAGAAAATTCGATAGCCAACGACTATTCTGTGAATGCCGTTCTAGGCACACAACCACCGGACATTGACGAGACGCAGCTTCATCTGCCTCGGGAGTCAAGAACCACAATAGCCCCCCTTCGCTCTGGCTACTGCAGCAGGTTAAACTCATACCTGAGGAGACTAAACGGAAATGTGCCGAATGAGTGTCCGGAATGCGGAAAGACCCCTCACGGCTCAAAACATCTCTTCGCATGCCCGGAAAACCGACAACCCTAACGCCTTTGTCCCTGTGGACCGACCCAATTGAGGCTGCACGCTTCTTAGGGCTGTCGTTAGTGGAACTTGACGACAACGACTGAGATATTAACCGAGCTGGGCGGGGTTGTTGTAGCCGCTACAACAACAACAACAACACGCTTGTATAGCTCATAATACGAATTTCACTTTCGATCTTCAATAACCAGCGAAAATCGAATGCAACTCATAATAAGGGCCAAAATTTTGAACGTAACTACTTTTTTATAGTGAAGGTTATTTTTTAAAATAGTCACGTGCAAAAGTTTAGTAAAATAACTATAACGGACTTTGACCGAGTTAAAAAAAGTTAAGATTTAAGCAAATTTTCAAGTAAAGTTACGTCGAAAATTGAAGCCAGCTGAATTTTTCGCCGCGGAAAGCATAACGTCAAACTGATGTGTTTGTTGTAATTCATTCTGTCTTTGTGCGTATAATTTGTTAGTGTAGTTTTTTACTTATATAGGCAAGGCAGAAGTGCAGTATCCTATGGTACTGGTCCGTAGTAGCGTAGTAGCGATTGGGATCAACTTGTCAAATAACGTTAAATTACAGGCTTCCAACCCTAATTTATTTTAAATGCAAATATAGATTCGAGCATGATACAAAAAAGAAGGTAGTTTCATTACTACTACTATTTTTTGATTATAAAGCAGATTTTTTACATTTATCCAGATGTAAACAGTAGGCATAGAATTGCCACATTGAAGTTTTTTGATAGAGGAGATTTTCTTTTAAATATTTGGGAGTAAAATTTACATATAAAAAATAGTAAGTTGTTGTGTTCGATAGTCAAATTTGAACGTTTTTCTCAAGCGTTTAAAAAAATCCTTTGAATAATATCGATGTGCAGAGATGAAGAAATAAAACAAAATCTAGTTTTGAAACATTTATTTGTTAAAAAGCTGTTTTCATTTTATTTTAAACAAAATAAATAAATTTACATAACAAAACTTTTTTTTTGTTAAATAGTCCGAAGAAGATATATTGTTAGATATTTCGTCATTAAAGCATAGTCCGAAAACAGGATTCGGAGAAGGTTGAATGGTCTCATTGCCCTCACAATGAAAGGAGTCACAATTTAGAATTATCCGGAAGTGAAGTATCTATAAGTAACTCTGGATACAAAACTATCGTGGAAATCTTTTTTTTATTTTTATTTTTTAATTATACTTGCATTTATTTGTTGGATCTGCTTATTTTACATCTATTAAGCCTAACAACAAGTTTAAAAATCTTACGTCTAATTTTACAATAATGTAGCTCAAACCCTGCGGTTGAGCCCTGTAGGTTTAACGTCGCTCAATGAAAGGCTGGTAGATCTCTTCTTCGCAGGCGTGTTATATTTGTTGTGTTGCACAGGCCACTTGCCAGTGGATTTGGGTGGTTACGTTGTTTTATTTTGTACTTTTCTCTGCTGCTGTCGATTACAGATTTAACCATCGGTATACCAAGGTCTCTATGTATATTTTCATTGCGGACATACCACGGTGCTCCCGTTAAGGCTCTTAGCGTTTTAGATTGGAATATTTGGATCCTGTCAATGTTGGTTGCACAGGTCGTACCCCACAGTTGAATATCATACATCCATATAGGCTTAATGACTGTATTATATACAAGCACTTTATAATCTAGTTTCAGTTTTGATTTACTGTTTATAATCCAGTTGACGCTAGCTGACTTTAGCTTCATTTGTGTAGTCTTGGTTGATATGTGTTTGCGCCAAGTTAGTCTCCTATCCAAGTTTATTCCTAGATATGTCACCTCATTGGCTTGTGGAATATGGACATTATTTAATTTGATTGGGGGCATACTTGCGGTCTGAGTGAAAATGTTTTATGTTTACTCTTCTGTTCGTTGACTTTTATGCGCCAGTTTGCCAGCCATTCTTCTATGCGTAGTAAATGTTCCTCTAGTACTCTTGAAGCTCTGTTGGGACATTTATTACGACTTACTAAGGCGGTATCATGAGCGAAGGTGGATGTGAGTATATTCTTGCTAGTTGGAATATCTGAAGTGTAGATGATGTACAGCATAGGCCCGAGTACACTACCTTGAGGAACGCCAGCCGTTATCGACATGTCTTCTGAAGTGAAATTAGATACTTTAACAGCAAATTTTCTGTTAGTTATGTATGATTCAAATATTTTGTGGAATTCCGGCGGCAACAATTTTTTAATTTTATATATAAGACCGTCGTGCCACACTTTGTCGAATGCTTGTGCCACATCGAGAAAAATTGCAGAGCAGTACTCTCTGAGCTCAAATGCCCTTCTGATTTCATTTGTAATTCGATTAACTTGTTCAATTGTACCATGTTTTTCTCGGAAGCCAAATTGGTGTGTTGGTATTAAATTGCGTTCATGGAGAAAGGGAGATATCTTTGATAGGAGTACTTTTTCGAATACTTTGGAAAGACAGGGCAGTAAGCTTATTGGTCTGTATGAGGACGGCTGTGTTGCGTCTTTTCCAGGTTTGGCTATCATGATTATCTTCGACCTTTTCCATAATAATTGCTAGTGCAACATTCGATACCTCTATTAGCCTTTTCGGAGTTATAAAATCAGCACCCGGCGATTTCTTTGGATTAAGCTGCTTTACTATAGCTTTTACTTCTAAAGAGTTCGTCTTGCTAGGTGTGTATAGCTCATTTGTATTTTTGGTTAGCCGGGGCAGCCTGAAGTTGTTCGTTGGACAGTTTGGATGAAATACATTCTTTAAATGGTGTGAAAAACACTCGGCTCTCTCCTTCTCACTACGAGCCCAGGTTCCACTTTGGTTCGTAATTGGCATTTCTGTAGCCACTGGTGGTTTGAAGTATTTTAGCGATTTCCATAGAGAGTATCCTTCAGTAGAATTCGGGGAAAGCTTCTTAATGTACCTTTGCAAGTTACGATCCTCTGCACGTTGGAGTGCTTGTTTCAGTTTTCTACCCGCAGCTTTATACAGTATCTGTGAGGTTGGTGAGCGATGGCTCTGCCACTGTCTTCTTAGGCGCCGCTTTTCTGCCACAAGTTTTTCTATTTCGGTATTTGTAACTGATGTATGCGTAGGTGGTACTTGGACTTGATTTGGTGTTGCCAGGCCAGCGGCTGAAGCAAAGGTTTCTTTGAAATGTTCAACAAGGGAGTCTATATCACGTTCGCAGTTAAGTGCAGCGTTTAATTTAAGGTGACTACTGATGTACTTTTCATATTTTTATCCAGTTGGTTTTATTTGAAGTTAGACGAGACACAATTTCGATATTTTGGGTCTGTTCATATAGTTTTATTAATTTAGGAGAGTGATCGGATGATAGTTCAGGTAGAGTTTCTGATGTTATGTTATTTTTGTATATGTTTCTTGTAATTGCAAAATCTATTAGGTCTGGTATCTTCTGTATATCGGTGGGCCAGTAAGTAGGTTTACCAGGAGATGTGACCTCTAGTCTATTGTGCCTGTTTATAATGGTATTGTATAGCTGCCGCCCTTTTAGGTTAATAAGGCGTGATCCCCAGTACGTATGCTTTGCGTTGAAGTCGCCTCCTGCAAGGAATCTATTACCCAGGCTATCAAAGAAATCTTTAAAGTAATTTTCAGAAATTGAATAAATAGTCGATAGATTCAAGTCTCGGTCGCGGTTTCGTAAGCATATGGTAGTTGCTTGCAGACAGGCTGTTGCTTTTGACTCTAGAATATTGTGCTTTAGACGATTTCTAATCAGCACCGCTGTGCCTCCATGAGCTTTACCATCTGGGTGATTTGTGGCATAGAATTTGTATCCAGGTATGGAGAAATTATATTTATTTGTTAAATGTGCCTCGGACAGTAGCATAACATCTATGTTGTATTCAGTGAGAAATTGACTGAGTTCTAATCTACGCTGGTGTCACCGTTAGCATTCCATATGCAAATTTTCAATTCACTCATTTTTTATTCACTAAAATTTGCAACAATTGGTTTTGAGCCTTTATGAGGTCTTGAATCATATTTTGCATAGTAGACATGAATTGAGTCATACAATGAGTAAGATTCAAAATCATTCCTTCTATGCCAAGTACAAGTAGGGGGGTTCCGCTGCATTTGCTCAGTATTATTCCTTTGAATATTTGCAAATGTTTCTTGATTGGAGTTTGATTTCGCCGTGCTTGGCTGCGTTTGTAGTTTTAATGCGTCGGCAAAAGAAACGTTGGGAACTCGCTGCGCATTGGCAAAAAAGGCTCCTGCTGTAGTGGTTGATGGTGTGAGGTGTTGGTATGTATAAGAGGTAATTGGGGTGGTGGAAGAGCGTACGGCTGTGTTGCGCTGATTCATACGAGACTTTAAGTCTTTGTATACAGGGCATCCCCTCCGCAATTACTGCATTTCTTTACAGCCACATCATCTTTGATAGCCTTGTAAGAAGCGGAAGCGTGAAGATCGCCACAGGCAACACACACTGGGCGAAAGGTACAGTATGTTCTGGTGTGCCCAAATTCTTGACAATTTGTGCACTGTACGGGACAGTTTCGCTTGTGCGGCTCTTCCACTGTTATTCTTCGGTGTAGAAGGTATCGTAGATTGTAGATTGGGTGCACTGCGTTTTTATTCATTGGCTTTGTTTCTGGCTTAAGTTCTACCTTAAACATAGGCTGAGCGATTTTTGCTCTGTTGATAATATTGACAACATTTTTAACAGAAAATCCTGCCTTCTCTAGAGCATGAGCAATATCACCAATGGGTACACTTGATTCTATACCTCTTATTACTACGTGCAGTCCTTTGCTGCTTCTGAGCTGGTACGTATAGAAGTTTGTCTTATCTTCATTAAGATGTTTGGTTACCAACTGGTAATTTTCTTCAGTTAGAATCTGAAGTTTGGTCTCTTTAATACTGCCCTTGGTAACTGACGTTACGTGGAACGTATTGTCTCCAATAAGCTGAGTTAATTTATTCACGAGCTCACTACAGTGTTGCTCTCGTAAATAAATTGGGGGCGGTGTGGGTTTGGCTTTAGAAACTTCATTCGGCTCTTTGTCAGATTCTTTGTCCAGAATCGCAAACTTATTTCCCAGTAGAGGGTTAATGTCAGTGGTTTTCGTTTTTGCAATTTTTGATGGGTTTGCAATTTTTTGCTGCTGTGGGCTTAATTTTCGTTTGACTTGTATATACCTATCAATACCCGTTTGAGTCAATGTACGGGTTGTTGGATTAAGTAGGTCAACTTGCGCTGAGCTGCGTTGCTTGGCTTCGGCTGGTGCCGAAATTGCCGTTTGTGCAGATGTGGGTGAACTGCGTTGTGAAACCGCTGTCATTGCTGAAGTCGTGGTTGTAGTCGTTGTTGTGAGGGCTGCGCTCACTGTTGTTACTGTGCTTGTTGCTAAGCTAGTGCTTTGTTGTTGCGTTAGAACAACTTGGTCTACCAGAGACATTGGCGACTGTGCATGCCAAGGTGTTTGGGGGGAGGGAGAGAGCGATTTATCGCGATCAGCATTGTTTGTGGGGGAAACGAACGAAAAGTAAGCATTTCGTCGATCAGCTGAATGCTTTTGGTCAGCTTCTGTTACGGCTAGGTTTATTTCACTGCACTTCGTGCTTGTTTCACTACTATTCGCTAAGCGCGGTGGGGCCGGAGCTGCTTTTATTTTATTGTATGTTGGCACATTTATTTGAATTTCTCGCGGCATTGCGAAAATTCTGAATAAGTTATTTATGATTATAGGCAAATAAGCAGAAGCTTATTTATGGCTAGTATTGTCTTTTCGCGTTGGTTCTGTTTTTTTCTTTGCTTTACGTGAATTATTATTAATTTCTCGGCGGAGCGATTAAAAAAACACGTCCGCACAGGTTGACAGTTAATTGGCAAACCCGTGGAAATCTAACACAAAACCTCTATAGAATGGGCGGCATTTTGGCAATGTAAACTGGTCTTTGGTAAAACGTGGAGTGTGCCACCAAGGGAATCCTCTGGATTTATACCTATATGATCAGACCCATAATTAGCTATGCGTCAGTGGGAAGTCTGCTTGCAAAACTTCAAAGAACTACTGCCGTGTGCGGTACGAAAGATTTCTCTGCGTGGCGTTGCTCTTAATGAACTGCTGCACTTTCCGTGACTTTGTACTTCATACGTGGGGAAGCCTTAAAGACCACCTGCAGACTAAAAAGAAAGGGATGCTGGTATAACACTGAGTGGGACCAGGCGGAAATTGCTAGTGGCAGAGAAGTGAGCACTTGTGACTTTTCAATGCGACAGGATAGTACGCCACCTTTACCTTTGTTGAAGAGATTCTATAGTGTTGAGTTTCCTGAGGCCGAATGCAGGTTTAATACCAGCACTGAGCCCGGACTCACACATAATCGAATATTCACTTATGGCTCCAAAACTGACACTGGGCCAGGATCTGAGGTCTTTATCGGAGTTAATGGGGATAAGATTAACTTTTCTCTTGGCAAGTATGCTTCGGTCTTCCAGCCTGAGGTATTTGCAGTCCTCAAGGATATGGACTACGTGGTGGAAAATAGCGGAGCGGAAGGAGTTTACGTGACGGCCAAGCTGCACTTAACGCACTACTTACTTCCAGACTCTGATGAGTATCAGTTAAATCGGGAGTACCTCCTATCGTCGTAGGATATGGACTACGTGGTGGAAAATAGCGGAGCGGAAGGAGTTTACGTGACGGCCAAGCTGCACTTAACGCACTACTTACTTCCAGACTCTGATGAGTACCAGTTAAATCGGGAGTACCTCCTATCGTCCAGAACTATAATATTTATCATATCATGAATTTCAATTTTCCTTATTGCACATATCGAAGACAAATTTCCTTTTAATTTTGTAAATATATATTTTTTTACAATAAATAAATGATTGTTGAGGACTAGGCATGGCAGCACGAAAAGTCACAATCTGCTTAATTGTCAGGTAGTTAATATGGCGTCTGAAAAGTGACAATGAAACTACCTTCTTTTTTGTATCATGGGTTCGAGTATTTTTTATGAAGTTTGAAATAAAGTGTATTGTGATATAATATTACTTTTCATTTTGTGAATTTGGTGCAAGGTCTAATAAAACAATTGCATGTACTATTTAAAAGAAAAAACAAGATGTTAAGTTATACCTTGGGTGTAATAATGCAATATATACATATAAATACTTATTTCTTGCTTACAATGTTGGTAAAATGAAGGATGTAATTAAGTAACTTAACAACTTATTCAGAATTTTTATTGTAATAATTTAAATTGCAAATTAAGTTTTGCGCTTTCATTTTGCGAATCTTTCTATTATCCCTTCAGTGTCAATTTCAATATATAAGTGTACGCGTAAAAGTGCTAGACCCATCAGACTTTCTTCATTCATGGTACTACGCAACCATGTTTTTAACCGGCGAAGGGTTGAAAAACTTCTTTCGGAAGTAGCGTTACTAGCTGAAGGTGTGACCAGAATGCGTAGTTTGTTAATCAATAGAAAAGCATATTCGTCGCATTTACCAAGAAGTTCTGCTGCTGATTTTGGAAATGACTTTTCGCTTTCCTTATTTGTCCATCGTTCCAACCACACTTTATACTCTCCTTCCAAATTGATACCGCCTTTTTCTAAGAAAAGTTTATATCGTTTTCCAGGCGGTTTTACGCGTTCGATAGCATTATTTTTTCGTCAGGCGTATTATATTCTCCAATTTTAGATGGAAGTAATAAGTTCAAATCAAAAATGTTTAATGTCTCTTTCGGCGATCTTTCACGGAGATCGAGCAAAATATTATCCAATAGCGGTATAAATATTGCCTTTCGATAATAATCTTTAGCATTAGACGCACGATAATTAGCCCGAAAATTTTGTCTATTCGCTCTCCGAGGAAGGACAATGTCAAAATCCAATTCCTTAGCGATATAGGGAACTTTTGAAAATATATCAGCATTTTCTCTATAATTTCGAAGAATATTCACAGTGCCATTGACTGCTTCGCTAGCACGATTCAAGCGAAGGTGCTTGGAGAAGTAAACTTTTAATTTAAAACTTTTTAATTTTTATTATATTTTTCAAGTCATTAATATTGATATGCGCAAACAAATGTCTGGTTACACAGTCGAAAGTGAAATTTCCTAGATACGCGCACCGCGGAAATAGACAAAAAGTAGTATCAGAAAGTTCGATTTGACATACATACATACATTCATAGTATCTAAATACCCGTTGTTTTAATTTTTCACGTTGACGAAGAGTTTTAGACGATATCTTATTCAATAAATGATCTTGTGCAANAATACCCGTTGTTTTAATTTTTCACGTTGACGAAGAGTTTTAGACGATATCTTATTCAATAAATGATCTTGTGCAAACCTAAAAATTTTACGATTGTAGATTAAAATAAAAAAACTTAATTTGTCAATGTTATTGTGGCTTGTTAACATTTTATTTTTAATATTTTTATTGAGCTTTGTACCACGATTGTTTATTAGGAAAAATTGAAAAAGCAACAAAGTCTAAGCGGTAGAAGTTATAGCACTATTTCGGAGATCACCACATCTCCTCATCAGACTTCTTTTTCTAGACTTCAGCACCTGCTACCGCTTAGACTTTGTTGCTTTTTCAAATTTTCCTAATAAACAATCGTGGTACAAAGCTCAATAAAAATATTTAAAAAAAAAAACTTAAATTTTTTTCAAATTTCACGTTTAAGGTAATATATTTTATGCGAATTTTTGCTTTTTTGAGCTCTGGGGGCGATCGCCCCCATCGTAACAAAACGAACGAGTAAGCTTTTTTGCGTAATTTTGTACGAAAAAAATTCTGTGTCGGAGGCGAGATAAAAGATGTAAATCGATGTGTGTTTGCAGGAAATATTAGTGTTCTACATTTAAACAGATAAATTTGCCTTTCGCATATACGTATATTTTTATCCACAACTTTATATAAAAAAGCAAAAAAGAATCTTTGATGCCCCTTATCGAGAAACTTGGGTCCGGTTTAGTTATTTGACAATGATTTTCGGTTGTTGTGTCCAAAGGCATAAAACGAATCCAAATACTTGAACATACACGTGTAACCAAAGCATTCAACTTTTATTGAAAGTAAATTTTAAAATTTCCGACCACTAGCTTATTAATAAATTCTGCACTTTTGCAAATTTCGATGTGGGCTCTGCGCAAAAATACTGTGGATGGCGTAGCCGGAGTGATATGCACGAGAAGTGTTGTATAGCTTTGACATGCGGAAGCCCCTCATCTCCGGCAACACAGAAAGGCGAATTCTACTTAGTAAGGGTTATAACCCCTAAGCGCGACCGAAGGCAGAATCAAGCGCAAAAGGTGGTGGACCTAACAAAGTTTGTGTTTTCAATGGCTTGAAAGAAGCTGTTATTGCATTAACTGGATTGAGAACCAGTTCTTCAGGCATAGGAGTTTTGGCTTGTGATTCAACAATTCAACCAGAAGCTGACATAGATGCGCATATCTTTGTGAAATCATTCCCATAGCGCGTCCTTTCGCTGTTATAATTGCAAATGTAATAGAATCTATAGTTTCCTCCAAAATATGTAAAATCAAACAATTTTACTATAAATAAGCGTCTCATGAGTGTTTTTTTAACTCCTTTCCACTTTGTTTTCCTTTGTTCAGCTGTCTTCGAACAACAACTGACAGCTGGCAATGCTGCACATGTTTCCGCAAGGGTTGCAGCATGTGAATTTTTCGTTTTTCGTAGCGTAGCTACGAATTACGAATTACGAAAATTCGGGTTCTAGAATAAGGGGGCAAGTCTACTGATCAAACATAAACATAACTTATTAAGAAAACAAAAACAGAAGGTAGAAGAAATAGCAACAAAACTAAAGAAACATCTGAGCGCAGATGACTTAAAAGAACTCATGGAGAGTGAGCAAAACGTCGCAGATAAGCTTACAACAACACTGAAAAAGCGACAAGAATTTAAAATATGACAAATTGCGGAACAAAAGAAATAATATCTTTGTCGACAACAACAAGAATGAAGATTTGTTTGTAAATAAAACGAAAGTGGAGTTCCCGCCTGACGTGAAAACATTGCTGTCGAAAGGTCCAAAGTTCGGGTTACCAATTGAGAACAAGAGATGCCCTCTTTTTCAGTACATCGCGGATGGAGAAGATCTGATACAAACTCTTAACGACAAAGAGCAACAAGCAGAGGCGCGTACCATATTATCATTGCTAATAAAAGACCACAAAACAACAAATAAGCAAAGTGCAATAGAGTGTAAAATTATAGACACAGTAGAACGGACGCGGAAATTTCTGAGGAAAAATGACAATATTCGAATTTTAACATCTGACAAAGGAAACAAAACTGCAGCAATGGAAATA